CGTAGCCCTAGGTCAATGCCAATCAACGCGTTGCGATGAAAGTCAACGCCGATCGATGCGAAACCCTAAGGGCAATGCTGGTCAATGCGTAGACCTAGGTCAATGCCAGTCGACGTGTTGTAATATAAGTCAGCGCCGATCGATACGAAATCCAAAGGTCAACGCCGGTCAATGTGTAGCCCTAGGTCAACGCCAATCAACGTGTTGCGATGAAAGTTAACACCAATCAACGCGTTGCGACGGAGATAATCAATTCAAAGTCAACTCAATGACATGAGCCAAAACCAACTCACTAACTTCGATTCGAGACTTCAATGATGGCCAAACGATAAACGCAGCACCGGAGGAACTTTAGTTATTCATCAAAGTATTAAATAGATTAAAAATTAAAGAAGTCAAATATTGAAGCTGACTACAGGTCCTTTCACACCGACTGAAGGTTGGACTGATCACATCCAAAGTATTCTAGGCCCTTCTATAAAAGAAACGAGACTAAAACACTTTGGAGGAGGTATCTGTAGGCGTCAATAATTACCTACGAGTTCTCGTACGTAGCTCGAAGCAGAGAAAAGATGATGAATGTCACTATCAAAGTCACAGAAGCTTAATTAATGTCGATAAGTGCATGAATCAAGTGAACGAACCGTGTGAAGCAAAGGAACCGCAGAATAACAAAAATACCAATTGATCAGGAGCTACGCTTCACTTATGAAAAACAAAGCGCCTCTCGTGTTCCGTCTACTCCATGTATGATTCAACTATGAGAGCTTATAGATCTCCTCGTCAGTTTTCATACATACTTTGAATCGCGCAATTCTGAGTTTGGACGACGAAGATACGACAGAAATAGATGGGACGACGAAACAATGCCCCAGGCCTTAGCGGAGACACCGCGAGTGTCTTGGCCAAGGCCGAGACAACGCGGGTGTCTGCAGGCTCCAAAAAGCTGTTTTATGCAGTTTTGAGCTATTTTTCGACCGTTAATCACCTGGATTTGTTTCAACTAATTTAATATCATCCAAGAACATGATAAAGTGGTTACAACTGAGGATAAGATTAAATCGTTCATTCTTATCTGAAAACAGGGCTCTTGGAGCTTATAAATACAGCCATAGGGCCTTCATTTGCATGGATCTAGAATTCTCGAGCCTTAGCAAAGTCCTACTAAATCGGAGATTGAGGAGCACAAATTTTAGAGAGGAGGAGGAGATTGGATCGAGTTCCTCGACATAAGAAAGAGGAGTTCGTCAGATCCATAGCCCGGTTCCTTCCCTAGCGATCGTACCTAGCTACGATCTCGAGAAGAGTGGTTATCACGCTATTCCCGAGATAATTGCTTCAGTTTCTTGATTCCTTCACGAATCAACAAAACTCTGGATTGATCTGATTGCTTGGTAGTCCACGGATATTAACGTCCCCAGCACAGGCAAAGATCTCATACAAGCAGTGGGTGATAAACGTTCGTTGCGTTTGTTTGAGAAGAGTTGTAATTTTCATTTCTATTGTGTAAGAGTCTTATAAAAGACTATCTTTTTTGTTTTCATTGTAACAACTAAAGTTATAATGCATACATCAATGAAGATATCAACTTTATACCAAAACACATAATTATATAAACATTTATCCTGTACTAAACGGAAATTGATATTTAGAAATTCACAACATGAGAATTAGTACATCGAGTGAAATAATCCAAATAAGGAAACCCTCATATATATACCATGTCTCAAATTATGAATCGCTAAATACCAACTCCAAATCCTATGAATAAAATAGTAAATAAAAGCAATATAACTCCAAACCTCAACTAATATAAGTCATGTCAAAACCTCATACTACCCTTGGGTAGATGGCACAGTCACAAGAAATAAGCATCCAGCAAAAGGAATCTCGCATGAAATATATCGTGTAGGACAACCTTAATATTATACCCTACTCTCGGGTAACTGACATGGGAGCATAAATGCAATAAGTGTAATTCTCTTTCTAAAACAATGATACTTTTGTAAAGCGCTCACAATATCCTATGGTAATAACCACCTTACTCAATAGCTCTACAAAGATAGGCATATCATCTTAAACAATGATGCACAACGGGGTGTAGTCTGCTGCGGTCTCATTGTAACATACCAACTAGCCACCATGAGTATAGTCTACCGTGGTCTCATTACGATATATCAACTAACGCACTCAAGAATCCAACTATCATGAAATACAATGTATTTGTCAAACTCTACATGATCAAACAAAATATTTATTTCGTACCTCCAAATGCTCATGCGTGCCCAATGTCCATGTGTGTATCAATGTACGACGTGTACTTCGTGTTCACGATCATAAACATAAGAGAAAGAAATAACATGTGTAAATAACCCAGATTGGTCGACCGACCCCTTTCGTTCAGTTGACTAAGTAGTGCACATCAGTCGACTGATCATCTTTAATCGGTCGATCGATCCACACAAACTTTCCAGATTCTGTAATTGTTTGAATAATCTCATAAATTCATCAAAATTCAAAACTTCTCAATAGAACTCAGTATAAAACTTAAATTAACTTATTTAGAGTTATTTCTACTGCATGATAACACGAATTCAAATTTGAGAATTTAAAGAAAACCCTAACATGTTCATATGTGTTGTATGTGTCAGATTATCATGAAAACGGATCTCTTTAACAAATCTCATATTAGATTAACTTAGAAAATTAAATCCAAATCAGAGAATATGTTCAATAACTTTTTAAAATAAAAAAGATCAAATCTTGATAGCTTATAGTTTAAAAGAACAATCTTTATACTTAAACTAGGTTTTAAGGCCCAATAAAACTAAATAAATCTCAGTAAAAATCCATTTAAAATAGGGATGAGATTGGAAGAGATGAAACTCGCCTCAAAACACTACTGGAAAACCCAAGGGTGCAAGAAAATAAGTCCTCTCTTGCCAAACATCGACGATCTTGTCCTCTTCTCGGTATTTGCTTTAGAAAGCTCTTGAAATTCACCAAAATATGATCTATGGTTTTTTAGGGGAGAGGGTGTCTACTTGGGTTCAGAAATATGATGTAAAAGAGAGATTTTCGTGAATTATATCCGTATATATACCAACAAACCCAAACCAATTCAAAAAGACCCAAAATCCGACTCAAACTGAGAATCTGGATTTGGCCCCGTTGGTCAACTGACTAAACCGCATCGGTCGACTGATTAGGTATCATCGGTCGACCAATCAGCTTTGGTCGGTTGACCGACCAGACACTGCTAAAATTTGAGGCATCCTAGACGTAAAAATTCCGTCTAGGATACCCAGAATTCCATCTAGGATGTGTATTCTAGACGGAATTCCGTCTAGAATACGCGTCTAGTTTATTTCCGTCTAGTATGTAGTATTCTAGACGAAAATTCCGTCTAGAATACATCCTAGACGGAATATTCTAGACGGAATTAAAAACCGTCTAGAATACATCCTAGACGGATTATTCTAGACAGAATTTCCTTCTAGAATAATTTATCCTAGACGGAAAAAAATTCCGTCTAGAATAAGTATTCTAGACGGAAATTTCCGTCTAGAAATCTTATTCTAGACGGAATTTAATTTTTTAAATTTTTTTATTTTTTTTAATTTTTAAAAAGTATTCTAGATGGAATTTAAGCATCCTAAACGGAATTTCCGTTTAGGATACTATGCTACAGTGTTTTTTTATTTTGCAGAATCTACTTTAAGTGTATGTACACAATATTGAACAACAAAAAATTATATTCGTACCCAACACAATCTAATTAATTCCAATATCAAATCCAATTATATTCAAATAATACATTCACCAAAATAGTAGAGAGATACATAAATTATTTACAATGGCTATGACACTTCTAGGAAAGAATGTAATTCATCGATACATGATTATTAATCTATTTGAGTTCTTTTCTGTTCATCCAGATTTGCTTTCTGTTCTTCCAGATTTGCTTGACACCATCCAACTCCTTCCAGAATGCCTCATAATAGCCAGGAATGCTGCAAAATGAAGAACGGTTATGCATAAGGCAAGGAGTTATCGAAGTAGAGTATCATATTTCTTAGTACAAGCTATTATCTAAATCATATTTTCATATGTGTATTTCTACTAGTGACTTCATTTTAGTAGCATCGCAGAAACCCAACCCAAGCATGTTTTGAATTATCATGATGCACATAAAAGATAATACAAACTGAAGCCATAATTTAGTAAAAGGTTATATCATATTTCCAAAAGGATACATATTTTCATGGACAATTTTATAATATCCCCATGTAAAAGAACCAATCAATATCCCCATGGATAATACAATCTGAAGGGATTGGGGAGGGGGTGGATCTTGAGGGCGATGGAGTGGAGGGCGCGACAGATGGAGAATACGTGATTTTCTACTAGTGTCTTCTTCTTATTATTAGATTTGAGCATGACATAGCCAACAAAGACGCAAAAGAAACTGAGAAGCGCGACGCCGGCAAACACCGGTATCAAGATAACAAACTCTTGGGGTAGAAAGTACCTGTGAATGAAATGATCCTGATCCACAAAATGGCTGCACAAGTTGGGGGGAAGAAAAATCAACTAATTTATTGGGTATCTCAAAAATCATTAAAAAACATTAAATTGGACAAATGGGTGTCCAAAAAACTCACCAAAATGATGACCCAGAAAGTGTAGTAAGTGAAAAGTGAGATGCTAATGGAAGTTAGAAGAAGCCCGACTTCTTTATCTGCAAGCTCCATTGAAATCGAGGGGTATTTTTTCACCAAATTCTGCCAGGAAAAAAAAAGGCCCATTTCAATTCCAGGATCATATATTCATATAAACAAACAAAATTGAATCTTTTACGCCAAGAGAATAAAATTTCTCAACCTGAGGAACGAATCGAATGCCAAGGGTTTAATTTTTGGGGAAGAGAAATGGGAAATGGGGTACTGGTTTCGGTTAGATTGAATGATAACTAGTGCTTGAAAATAATTTGGAAAGCAATTCATATTTGATGAAGCCACAACAGGAAATAAGAAGATAGAAAAGATTAGGATTTTGACTTCCGATAAATGAATTATAAGTCATTATCATTCAATCTAACCAGATGATATTGCTGGGGAAATGGGGTACTGGTATGCCTTCAACTGGGACCCCAGCCCCCTGGTCTTCTCTATATAAAATGTGTATTGAGCACTATGAGGTGAAACAAATTTAATGCAGAACAAGCTTACCAGATGAATGACATCTATGCTAACGTCACCAGCTTCAACACCCTCAATAGTAATAAGCAAAACATTCCCAGCAATATCACCAGTACTCTTATTGTTCACAATCTCTTGTCGATTTGAGTATTGTATATACACGATTTTGCCACGAACTTGTGCAGGCTCAGATGATGAAGCACAGTATGAAACCATTGAGATTGCTTGGTTAAGGTCGGACTGGAACAAATGAAACAAAATCAAATAACTAAAACTAATAAGCTATCATCACATCTAAGTTTTTCCTTTTGAAATGTAGATTTTAGCCTCAATTAACTAATTTTTGTGCTGCTCTTAATATCGATTTGATGTAGCTAAAAGCAAGACATCAGTCACACATTACCACATAAATTGGTGATTGGGAATTTCATATTAGGACACAAAAAATTGAGGGAATCAATTTAGCTATCAAAATTATAACAGCATTGCTAAAAATGCAACCTATGCACAAACACAAAATAGACATAGTTAGACCCAATCATCAAATTTTCTTCTTTCATACCAACCAATACTGAAGAATAATACAAAACCACTTACATTGCTTTGTTAATATGATGTTTGGAAAACTGAAAGTTGATCTGGAATAGTAAAAGAACTTTTTTTTACAAGGGAACAAAATATGGTGTTTGGTTGGGGGGGAAAATCTTAAGACTGAAAAAATAAGGAATAGGGCAATGTTGTGATATCTATTTACTTAGCATCAAACTACACTTTCAGTGATATAATAATAAACTAAATTTTTAATACTCATGGTTAAATCAAGAAGAAGCATAAAAACTTCTCCAGGCCCAAGAACTGTAGGCGTATAAAATTGCCTATAGGTCCCTTAGCACAGCTCGACGCCGATTTAACAAACGGACCACCAGGCGACGTATCCAAACAAGACCACCAGTTAGGACCACAAACGAACTCCGTGCTCGATTCCTCCGAATGAACGAACCGAGGTCCACTTTCAAATCGAGCGATTCAAACCTTCTACAGTTAGGCTCACCTCAAACTCCTGTTTGGCCAAACCTTCCTACAGTTAGGGTCAAAACCATAATTCACTCTCGATAAACGAGAAATCATCTTTTAGTTCGCGTTAAATCAAACCTTCGACAAGTTAGGTTATCCGAATCTTTCGATTCTCGAGTGAGATCCCAACTCTCAGTTCTCACCTTTCGGATTCTGGGGGTGGAGATCCCACTCGAGTCTACTTTCATGAAGAGAGAATATAAAATTCTTTCTTCTTCATTTTCGGGAGATAGATATAAAAATTCTTCCTCTCCCAATTTCGTGTTCGTCTTTGCCCCAAGAGAAGACTCCACCTTTTTCAAATTCCCAAATCTGTGCCGCACAGCGTTAGAAGGTTATCCCGAATCCTAAGCAGGATAAGTCTGCCGCCTAACACGCCTCCGGTTTAGTCTTTTTCGCCACAAAAAGCACACCAGAGTCGATTCTGCGGATATTACTTCCTTGAAACCAGAAGCAAGGATAGTCTGTGCCTAACCCGCGTGCCGTTAGTTTTAACACGATTGAAAGAACACTTCGCCCGCATATTCAACATTGCGGAGGCTGTTATTAATAACACCAAATCATGCCTACACGTATGGGAATTTCATACCCTGAATCCTAAGAAAAGGATATGCCGGACGCTACACGCAGTAGCCGGTTTGAGTCTTTCCCCAGCTAGAAAAAGACACCAGAGTTCGATTCTGGGTATTTTATGCCCTAAGCCTTAAGGACGGGATAACGTCAAGTTTAATACACGTGCTGGATGGTAGTCCATATTCCATGAAAACGTGCGAATCTAATGTATTCAAAGGCATCAGCAACAAGTCGGTAGAGGATTCGCAGTCTCTAAGCACAAACGTTAACATGCGAACGGATTGTAGACAATTTAGCGCATGCTAAAGCCCGACTCAAACGGTAGGTCAGCGTAAAGGTATTTCAAATCCGTTAAGGCGGGCCTTGGGGTTAGCCAAAAGAATCCTAAGTCACGCGCCTAACACGCGTCGCCGGGTAGTCATTCCCGTGAGAAAGACGAGATCTACCTATTCGAAGTCTAGCATCAAGTTAAGCGGAGTTCATTCCTTTAGCACAACGTCACATGCGGAAGCGAACTTAAAGACAATCCGCATGTAAGCCGATTCAAACGTAATCAAGTAAAAGAAATGACAAATCCGATTGAAGCTGAGGATTTGCAAAAATCCTAAGTCACGGCTGATACACGTTGCTGTTTAGTCTTCACGGAGAAGACGAAGTTACGTATTTCAATATCGTAGACCTAAAAAGAGTAACTCTTTTAGCATACGTCACATGCGGAACTGGAATTAAAAACAATCTCATGCTAGCCCACTCGACGTAGTCCGTAAGGCCGCATCAAACCCGTTGATGGCACTGAGGGCGAATTGCAAAAAAATCTATAAAATATGCGAGTCATGACGCATAACTTTATCAGTTGATCTCGTGATCGAGATCCAACGACCTTGGGATAAGATCCATTGCTCAATTCCTTAAGAGCTCAAACCGGTACTCCAGCAGACGTACGAGTATAAACTGCTGGTCAAATGCCGAACAGTGCATCAGAATGAAGCTGGAGACGCCGGGGACAATGGTCGCACCAATGAAGCTTCAAACGCCAGACACGCGTTATAGATGAATATTCACGCAGTCAATCGATGATAAGGTTTCTGTGTTGAAGCAGCAAACTCGAAGCCAAAAAAGTCAAGAATCTCAAGAAATCGACTTCAAGCTTCAATTCCAAACACGGGTCAGACAATAAAAATGCGCACCGGAACCCCTACGGCATTCTACAAAGCACGAATAGCCTGAAAGAATTGAAGGAATCCAGACAAAGTCATTCCAGAGTCCCGTTAACACCGACTGAAGGTGGGCATCACATCCAAGATATTCCAGACATCTTATATAAAGAATGAGACACCTGAAATATTTGGAGGGGGATCTGTAGGGCGTATAAAATTCCTAAGGTCCTTAGCAAGCTCGACGGATTTAAAAACGACACCAGCGCGATAATCCAAACAAGACCGGCCAACGATGAAGCCAGCCCTTATACGACACGGAGCAGAGTTAACGAAGCGGCGACATCGCACCCAAGCATTTTGGAATGCATCCACTCGCACGCGAATCAAACCAAATGTTTAGACGTGACATCACCGAGTCATCTAAACAAGAGCGACTCGGATGAACCACGATCAATCAACATCAATTCCCGGACTCAAAATCAGAAGTTGTTTACTGCATATCAGGAACCCGACTCACTGCCATATCCTGGAATCATAACAATCGTATTGCCAAGTCAATCAACCACACAAGAGAACCAAGAACCCGGAAACAAAGGACGAACGGACAAACACAGGGGACTCGGCCGAAACGAAACCACCAGGGATGCGTGGCTCGGCCCAAGCCGACCCACCCTTGGGTGCTGCCTGGCTGGCCCGAGCCACCTCAGGGTGGCGTCGCCAAGGGCGAGCCACCATCAGTGGTCGCCAAAGGCGGAGCACCCTAGGCGTGCTCGGCCCAAACAGAGCCCACCCTAGGGTGGCTCGCCTAAGGCCGAGCACCTCAGGGTGGCTCGGCCAAGGCCGAAAGCCACCCTGCAGTGGGCTCGCGCCAAAGCCGAGCCACCCAGGGTGGCTCGGCCAAGGCGACACCCTAAGGGGCTAGGTCAGAACTGATGCCGGGCACAGTCTGAGCTGCCTATAATAGGCCTTGTGGCTCATTTGTTTCAGATTTGGAAATTTTGGAGAGAGGCGAAGCCCTGCTGGAATTTGAAGACTAGATCTAAAAAAGATCACAACTTTGAAGCCTTGAGGACAATTGGACTTTCGAGATCCGGTGCTCGGCCGATCACCACCCCAAAGAAGGCAGGACGTTCGAGAGGATTTGGATTTGAGATCTACACATATCACACTCGGATCTAGCTTGGGTCTTAATCCCGAATTCGAGCGTTGTTCTTGTGTGAAACAATCCTCCGCTATTATTCCTTGGTGGCAATAACCCGTCATATCGTGAGATCCGACCGGATCGAGTCACGCGGTGTCCAACGGCAAATAAAAACAAAAAACCCCGGGCAGGCAAATGAACCACCCAAAGCGAGCGACCGCCAAAACAGGAGCTCGCGATCTAGTTCGACAAATTAAGGAAAATTGTAATCTCTTACTTTGGTTTTCTTTATTTTTCATTTAAACCGGCGATCTTATAAAAAGGACCGGATCTTTGTAACGCCATCAAAGTTGCATAAAGTTGTTAACTGAGAGTGCAATGACATCGATAATGAAGAAAGACATAATTTTTCCCGCGAACAAGAACCATCAACAATTAATTCAAGCAAGCAGCAGTGTCAATAATAATAACAATTCTTCGATTTTGCAGCGCAACAAAGACACCTAATTTTTAATTAAATTCAGTGTCAATAATAATAACAATTCTTCGATTTTGCAGCGCAACAAAGACACCTAATTTTTAATTAAATTCAGACGAGAAAACAGAATGCAATCTACAAAATGAAAATCAAGTGATCCCTTACAAACTCAACGAAGGCCTGGTTGCGATTTGCCCCAACATTGCACTTGGTGTTGACGATCTTTCCGAATGGCTTGCAGAGCTCGACGAGATCCTCATCGGTGCACTCCCATGGCAGATTCCTCAGGTGAAGCACCTTCGATGGCGTCTGGGTGTAGCGAAACTGCTGTTGCCCTGACGTAGACGACATCGTAGCGAAACTGCTGCTGCCCTGACGTAGACGACATCGTAGCGTCGATCTAGGGTTAGGGTTACGCAGATTTCTCGTGGGTGGCGGTGGCGAAGGATCCGCGGGGGGAGGGCATGCCGGGGAGAACAGGAGGAGGGGGGGGAGGGGAGGTGGCGAGGTTGAGCGGTGGCGGAGGACCAGGAGGGGAGGGGAGGGGATGGGAGGTGAGGGAAGGAGCGGCGTCGAAGAGGGAGGCCCTGAGGAGGTAGTTGGGTGAGGTGGGGAGGAGGGGTTTTTTGTGTTGGTGAGAATTATCACAAGCTGGATGGCCTGATTCTTCTAGGGGAAAGGGGGAAAGGGGGGCGAAATTTTGGGGGGAAAGGGGGGCGGCGAAATTTTGGGGGGAAAGGCCGGCAGCGAAATTTTGATGGGGAAGTTTTTTTTAAATGGGCCAAGTATCCTAGACGGAAATTTCCGTCTAGGATACATCCTAGACGAAAATTTCCGTCTAGGATAGCTAAAGCAGTATACTTTGCTATTCTAGACGGAAATTTCCGTCTATGATGTTTTATCCTAGACAGAATATTCTAGACGGAAATATTCCATCTAGAATACTACATTCTAGATGGAAAATTTTCCGTCTAGAATATTCCGTTTAGAATACTTGATTTTCTACTAGTGAGAACATATCCTAATTTACAGGTTTTGTGCACGTTCTCGCTCATATACACACATTTATGCACTTAATCGATCTCAAATCGATTACTACCATGCTCATTCATCAATAAATGATATTTCTCAGAATAAAAACTTATTTAATATAATTTTCTATAATATTTCAAAATTTACTGGGTTTTACAATGTAATGACTGAGCATGTTCGCTTAAGATGGCTACACATAAATATACTTATTATAACTTATAAATAGGCACTCGTCTCGAAGTCCTCTAGCCATCCAACTCACCTTAAGACTTGACACACCTCACTACTTATCGTAACTCTCTGTTGTTATTTAAATTATTTTCTTTGTGCATATAAAGTTATATACTAAATCCTCGAAGCACTGACTATACAAATAGATAGGCGTTATATACCATCGTAGACATCATCATTGGTAGCTAACTACCTAGCGCATATGTACATAGTCCCTCACCTAGGAGGTCAATTAACTCGTAGTCTATGAGAAGGTTTCTAGCCAATCTACATGTATAAACGGTTAACAAACAAAGCCCAATCAACATCAACATTTAGCACCATCCCTCTTATAACAATAGTTATAATATTGTTTGAATAATCTACAAGCATATTCATTAATTTATATTAATGTGTTAAAATTTGTGTGTGGCAAAACACTCCATAATCTAGTGTCGCTATCACAAAGATGACTCTACACCGCCAAATAATGAAATACTCTTTGGAGTCACGTTACTTATAATAATATTACAACTTATCATTAATTTTTAAGAGTTGAGTCTCTTCGGACTTAATTGGACACTTCTAAAATATTAAATATATAGCAATGCAAGTTCTATCGTTTATCAAATACTATGTTCAGCAATTAAGATGCTTTAAGATCAAAATTCGTCCAATGTATCTTAAAAGGATTGTGGAGAAGGAGAACTCTATTATGAGTTTAAACAATAATTCATCCTCATTTGATTAAATGGAGCTCAAACGGTTATATCAGATTATACTAATTTGGTAAACTAAATTACAAATACAATTTCCTTAACATTGCGGTTAAAGTGTTTACAAGCCTATAATGATAAAAAAACTCAAAAATAAGGGTTTTGAAACTACACATTTATAGACAAGGGCAGGTCATAAGATGACTCCATAATATATAATATATATACTATATATATATATATATATATATATATATAATATATATTATTATATAATATAATATATATATATATATATATATATATATATATAATATAATATATGTGTGTGTGTGTGTGTGGTGTGTGTGTGTGTGTGTGGTGTGTGTGTGTTTTGTTATGTACTTTTCGGCTGCGCCAAATTGTGGCCCCTTGCCAACAACAAGCAGATATCCCCCGTCATACACCATTTAGTCGAATCGACGCTCAGGACAGCCAGAGTCCTGACCTAGCCAACTCGCCGAGTCGAAATATTCCTAGGTTGACTCGAATGGTGGTACTTGTCGACCCTTTTATCAAAGTGACTCACTGTAAGTCCTCTCAATCAGTTAGTTATCCGACACCTAGCTGGGTTAACTCGAAAAGCATTACTTCTTGACGCCCCTCAACACAGGTCAAAAGACAACTTTGGCCTCGAACCCCCTACTGACAGCAGACATCACATTAAATTCTTAATAGGCGCCATCATTTCTCCATCCTTGGTACTATTTATGACACATCGGACCACATTGGCTTCATACGCTACCTATCATTTCTATTAATGCTGAAGTGACAGCGCCCATTCCGTGATCGCTCTACGACCAACACCTGTCAAGTCGATACTGACTCAGCCACCAGCTCTAACTCGGCCACAAAAGACTAGAATACACCTCCTGCATGGCTATAAAAGAAAAAGTTATTCTAAATGCAAAAGTAAGCAATTTTCTTAGCATATTTTTCCATTCCATTGCATTCCGAGAGCGGGGGCAATTCTCACTTTCCCACTCAAGTACATAGCTAACTTGATCATTGGAGGAGCAACGGGGGAACCTGTCTCCGTCCTCTTACGAGTTGTTACACTGTAGGGAAGAAGCAGCTCAACTCAAAATCAGATATTCGGAGAATTTAGCGGCCCCCTACTCAATCTCACCCCTGCTACATTTGTGTGATTATTAACATCAACAGTTTGGCACCCACCATAGGGCCTCTTTCTTTTTCGAGCAAGTATGTCTAATTTTGAGCATTGGGATGACCAGTCCATCCCTAGAGGACCGCACAAGAGCTATGTTACGAAAGCTCAGCTTGAAGAAAATAACTCAGAAGATCTCTCAATCCCTCCAACAGCAACTCGCTACCTTCACCAGCGAGCTTATCAGCCGATTTTCATAGCCACAGCAAACAACTTCTGCCATTCCTCCGCCTTCTGAAGCCCGACGATCGGGGACTCATCCCTCTTCTGAAGCTCGGCATATAGTTCCAACACAGACTCCTCACCATGCTACCAAATAGCAAAAAGATCACATCAAACATGTGACCCTACCACCACATTGGTTGACTGGCCCTACGAAATCTCGCTAGTGCCTGCTTCCTAATTCTTAAGCCACCAGCAAAAGTCCTGACCCTAGAAACCCTAGAAATCACGCCATGGGAGGAGTGTCTAAGACTACCCTCCCCCCGCCCCTAGGAAGGCCTCTCCTAACAGCTTCTCTGCCACCCTGATGCCATCTGGATATGATCGTGTGTATAGACCCATCGCTAAAGACATTGGGAGGAACACCCCCCCTTTCTGACGACCTCATAAGCACCCCACATGAGAAGTTCAAGATGCCTCACATGGAGAAGTACAAGGGCCAAGGAAACCCCTCCGAGCATGTCCAGAACTATTATGATATAATGAGCATGCTCCAAGCATCGAAAGCTATCATTTGCTAATGCGTCCCTATTACTTTGTCGTAGAGCGCCAACCTCTGGTGGAACACCCTAAAGAAGAAGTCCATCAGCTGCTTCCAGCAACTCAGTAAGTAGTTCATCCACCACTTTTTGGCTGATACCAAATAGAAGCTGTCCCTTCATGTGTTAATACAGATGAGGAAAGAGCCCGGAGACAGCCTTCGAGCTTACTTCAAGAGCTTCTAGGCGAAGAGGTTGGAGGTTAATGACCGAGGAAGTTCGGTTGTGATGTTCACTCTTGTAGCTAGCTTGCAGACCAACGAATTGGAAGACTCACTGACCAAGAAACCAGCCACCAATTATGAACAATGGATCGCCAAAGCTCACGGGTATATGGATATGGAGGATGCCCGAGCTTATAAGGCGGCAGCCAGGGCCACAGAGACCTCCATGGCTACGATCTTGGCAGCGGCAGATGTAGCACCAATAGCAGCAATAACATTACCTGCACCACCGACACCTACAGCAGCACCAGTGGTGGTGCCGACACCAGAGTTGGCAAGAGCCCTCCTAGCAAGGCAAGAGTAGCTGAGAGATCCCCTGAGAGCTGACTCTCGCTCCAACCAGTCTGACAGGAAGGACCAATGGAGGGACCTGACACCTAGACCCGCTCTCACAGTCCTCAACATCTCTCTCATAGAAGCGCTCAGCAGGGTCTGAAAGGAGGGGAACCTCAATGAGTTCCCTCCCAAGATGAGGTCAGACCCACGAGGCCGAGATACCTAGTAATATTGCCGCTACCACAGAGATCACGGCCATCTCATCAATGATTACCATATCTTGAAGAGGGACATTGATGACCTGATCAAGAGTGGGTACCTAAACAATCTTGTCTCTCAAAGAGATAGGAGGGAGGCTACCCCACCCAAGACCAACAGGAGATCCCGTTCACGGTCACCTTGTCCCCCCAACCATACTTGGATAGTCAACCACTAGAGCCTAGCCATAAGAGGGTTATCAACATGATCAGTGGCGGGCCGGCCCTACCACTGGAGGGTTGTCCAACTATACCAGGAAGAGGTATGCTAAAAGGGCATTGCGGGTTAACCTGTGTGAAAAGAAGGCAAGAGCGGAGGAACTCATCTCTTTTGGAGACATTGACCTGAAGGGCATCAAGATGCCTCATGACAACCCCATCGTCATAACAGCTAAGATTGACGGCTTCCAAGGGAAGAGGATTATGGTTGACACAGGAATCTCGGTGGACATTTTGTATATCGATGCATTCAACCAAATGGGCATCGATAAATCTCAACTACTGCCCTGTAGGAGCCCCCTCATTAGATTTGACAGGTTACTCTCTCCTGTCCGAAGGAATGATTACTCTCCCCTTGACGATCAAAGAGTACCCCAGACAATCCACCGTTTAAGTCCAATTTCTAGTGATGAATCACAAGTCGGCCCATGTTGTCATCTTGGGCCGAACCACCCTCCACCTCTTGCAAGCCATCCCGTCAACCAATCACTAGATGCTAAAATTCTCGACTCCTAATGGAGTCAGGCTTG